GCCGCAGACACATGGAGTTGCAACTTGGACCTTCGGGCCGAAATCTCTTCCAGCCGATCGTTGAGAACCTTGATTTTGACGCCCACCTCATGTCTGAACTTGACCTCGCGAAAGCAAGCAAAGAAGGGAAATCCGCACGAGGTGGACGGCTTCGGATCGGACTCACGAGGAGTCCACTTCTGGGCCTCCATCCGGCACTCGTCGAGGAGGTCGTCGGCGTCGTACATGAAGTCCTTGAGCTCCATCAGCCAGTCGTTGACGTCCTCGTCCTCGATCCGCCGCTTCTCGGCGTCGCGAAGGACAGAGTGGATGTTGCGGAGAGAGCGTTGGAGCTTTTGGGTCTCCCCGGGGACGCCCAACAGCAAGTCCACCTCCTCTTTAGCCATGTCCTTCAACGTACCGACCAGCCCGGAGATGAAGGCATCAAGAACAACGGCCATCTTTGATCAGAGTGGGAGTAGAGTAGCTCTCTCCCAAAGTCTTATGGCAGCCAAGGCAAGGGTGGTGAGTAGGGTGGTTGCAAAGTTATACCTGCATAAACTCTTCTCTTTTTTTTCTCTAAAAGAAAAATACTATTATTAGCTGGACGAACAACACAAGAGTGTCTTTTATATTCAAATCCAAATGCAGCCTCTGTCGTCTTTCACAGTATTATTACAAAAAAACAAAAAATAAAGTTAGTACATCCTACCAACTAAAGAAAAGACATTAATGGAGATGTGGAGGGAATAGTGTGGAAGACAGAACAAACGCGATTATATTTTATTCTCCATCAAATTATAATTTCTTCACACTTACTTCTATCTAGTTGAAAAATAATTTCCACACATGACAGGAATAACATACAAACATCTAACAGTTCCAAGTAAAAGATATTATGTATACATTAAGGTTTGTCATACTGATCAACATTTTAAACCAACCTAAATCTGACAGGCAAACAAGATCACTAACAGATAATATGTCAGCTACAAGATCACTAATAGTTAGTATAAGATGGGCACCCCACTTGGTAATATAAGGCACACATGACAAGAATAACATACAAACATCTAACAATTCCAAATAAAAGATATTATGTATACATTAAGGTTTGTTATACTGATCAACATTTTAAACCAACCTAAATCTGACAGACAAACAAGATCACTAACAGATAATATGTCAGCTACAAGATCACTAATAGTTAGTATAAGATTGGCACCCCACTTGGTAATATAAGACAGTACAATATGCACTCTATAATGGAAAATTCTTGAAACTTGATAGCAATATTGAGTGGACACCAATAAGGAACAATATAACACCGATCATAACCTTGTCTGGTATAGCACCAATACACAAAATTATAAACCTTGAGACAAATACTCAAAAATATTATAGAAAGACTAGGACGAGCTCAAGAAACTCACATGGACATACCTGATATTTAGTGCAGGACGAAAGGATCCAAAGGAACTTTAAATTAAAGCAAGCATTAGCTTGAAGGAACTTAACGAATAATGGCACAAAATAAAACATTAGTATGTTACACGCTAACACAATCCTAAAGGAACTCAAAAGAAAAGCGACACAAAAGAAGACATCATCAAGTTTAAAGCAAGCATTATCTAAAATAACTTTAAAGAATAATGACACAGAATAAAGCATAATTATTTTTAAAGCAAATATTATACATATATATATATGCTAACCTTAAATTTACAATCATATATATGAAAATTTTCGAGCATAGAGGGATATATGGGTGAGAAGTTATTTCGTAATAATAACTAGAATTTCACATCAATGCTCTGCATTCATAAGCACAAATCTATAAACATCTGCAGTTGATACATGCAAAATGTGGGAAAAACATGAAAGGCTCAAGAAATAAAGCCATAACCCACAGATTCCACATCATCAACTCTTCAGACATGGAAGATCTTATTTGGAACAGTACCAAATCTCTCTGTGAACATATCACACTGTGATGTTGATATATATTCAGTTGCCTTAGCTTTGATAGTGGAGAACAGGTTTCACCCCTTTTGATGACTTGTACCCATAGAAATACTGGATGTGGCTGTTAATGTTCATAGTCATATCACATGGAACTAGCAGTACATATCCAGCTTTGCCTTTGTCATATAAATGAGAATAATCATGCACTTTGGAATTGATTCCTAAATGGTTTCACATCTTTCTTCTATGAACCATCTTTGGGTGGAACTGAGGGCACCACTAGGAATCTTCCGATCCCCATATATTCTTGTGCAAACTCATCGTCGTTCTTAGACAACATGTCCTTCAAACTACATTCGAGTTTTCTACTATGAATCACCCAGAATCTGGGTTTTATCTTCTTGTCCAGTGAGTAGCTGAAATACCTTGGGTATTCGACAATTTCCTTTAGTGGCTTCTTCATGGTTCTTAAGAGGAAATCAAGCTTTGGTTTCAGAACCATTTCAATGCTATAGCCCAGTATGGGAGAAAATCTACAGATCATGGAGCATACTTCCCTCTTAGACAGCCCAACCCTCATAAGAAAGATCATCCTGCAATGCATCAGAAATCAAGATGAGCAGATATCCCACCAACTGCTATATAGCATTGTTACTGGGGATGTACATAAAGAATTGTCAGTGTGAGTGGAATTAAGTGCACACAAAGTGAAAATAAACATGTAAAAGTTATTATTCTATATTAATTAGGTGATTAGTCTATGTTTCCTGAGAAGTATTACTTAGGTGATTAATCAATGTTTCCTGAGAAAAACAAGACATCCTCCCTCGCTGATAATTCACAAAAGCAGAAAAAATAAACATCAGGAAGCTCTGGCCTAGACCATGTAAGACTGAATGACAGGCATATTTCCGGCTCACATGAAATTTTGTTTGGGCTGTGATATGAGCGTGCCTATACAACTTTTTCTTTTGTTTTAAAAGGCTGGTATTACACTAAAATGGGGAACATTAGCATGTCTTACGATACTGGTATGTTTCAGGCAAAATCCACGCTAATGACAAGCAAACTATGAATTCTTGCTCAGAGTGTGATGAATGTTTAAGTAAACAAGCCGCTGAAAGGATTTTCATTTTGCCTTTCACGTTGGGATGCAAAACCATTATTTAAGTAGGTAATGTGTTATGCAAACCACCAAGAGGAGGGAAAACAACCTAGCAAAAAATGGTTATGAAAGAATGAATAAACATGTTAAAACCCACATCTAGGTGGAAGTATTCGTCGCTATACCTGGGAAGTAAAGTGTTATCAGTATCCAAAAGTAGCATTTCTGGATATTTTCTGACAACCCGAAGAAGACAATCTCTTGAGACACCAAAATCAGCAAGGAAATTGACTTTCTTTCTCAAGGTGTTATCAACACTAGAAGCAAATATTTCTGGACAGCGACATAAAATCCTACCAATGGTTTTGCTATCAAAACCAATTTCTTCCATAAATGATACGACCTAGGAGGAGAGAGAGAGAGAAAACTAATTAGCTAACACAAATTAAAGCATGAATCTAAATTTTAGGTAAGTTAATATAATTTAATCGATGTTTTGAAGCATCTGGTATGTTATTAATGCTAATGCAGCACAATAAGCAATGTACAGAACGACGTTATTAATGCTAATGCAGCATATGCTATGTTATTAATGCCAATGCAACAGAACTACGTACATTAACCGATGTACAGTATCCATATTAATGCTTCATAGATAAGCAACAGAAAACCATATATTTTTAAAAAATTAGCAATTATATAAAAAATCAATTTGATACCTCTTGAAATTCTTTAGGTTTCTTCAGTAGGAGCTGTGGGCTAGAGGTAATAACTGGAACCAGCATCTTCTTCTTAACACCAAATTCATTAAATTGCTCCACCATTGACTTCATCTTTGTAGCCGAACAACCCAATATATGTGGCCAACTCCTAATTGCGAGGTCGACACTTGATTTTGGAACCTGAAGTAAAGTAATATCAGGTTTTGTTAAATATATAAACACTCCAAGAATATGAACCAACAAACCACCTATACAATGAATATATTTCAAAATTCATGACTTTGCATCAGATGAATAAGAATAATAAAGTTGGTCAGAAAGTTACATGAACCTCATCAATCAAGGTGGCAGCTTTTGAGTAGGAGATTCCACTTAATATATGGTGCATGACTTTGCAAATGTTATATACCAAAAGTAGTAGAATTGACTAACTAAAAATGGCCAAGAAGTAGATGCATTGCATGCATAAATGCTATTTGGTTGCAACAGAAAAAACTTAAATGTCTGTTTATAGCTTTTGAGTGTTCTCATTAGTGTATTGTGATAGTAGTTAATGTGGATAACAATAGTGCATGGATGGGGGAATCTTGAAATACATATAATACAAGCAAAAGTGTGTTGCAAGATAAGTATGCTATAATAAAGAAGATGCATCGTGTGTGTTGAAATATGTACAGTTTTCAACTAATGTAATGAAAATATGTCAAAAAATCTGAATACTTATCAGTTGCAAACGAGTTTCAGCGAGCAGGCCATGTTGCATGACTAAGCAATGACTGCTAAAAAATGCATATAGCATATGCGACTAGGATTTATGTAAACTTAGCTTTCTTGGCCAACAATTGCATATAAGTCTTGCAATATCCAAAAATAATCCACTCTGACATGGTATTATGGTCAATTTAAACATGGATGTAACTTGAATAGATGGGCTCTACCTTCTTTTCATTGAAGAAAGCCAGTATCTTCTCATAATTCTCTTGAATACTGGTTGAAAGAATCCATGGATATTTCATCAGCATCTTTGCAATATCTTTTTCTTCGAAACCTGCCTAGAACAATGAGACATGAAAATGGTTTTAAAGACTCCATGATAGAATCTTACTACAAAACTCAGTTGTTCAAGTATGCTGATGAGGAAGAAATATTAGTGAAAGTTCAATTTCCTAAAATTATATAATATCATTAGAAATAATATTAGAATAATTACAAATAAACCTACTACTTAAGATTCTAATCTCTATAATACTATAAAGGTTCCGGCACCTACTACTAAAGGCTTATGAAGCATCCGCTGATTTGAGTTGTAAATTTACAAATGCTTTTCACAAATACCTAGAACAATTTAAACACAATTTAATTCTAAGTAGTAAGTAGACTCCACTAGTAAAAAAATATCTATCCCAGCTTAACTTAAGATTTTGAGGCACGCACGAATCAAAATAGAATGATGCATGATGACCAAACCCATATGCACGCGAGTGGTTGCATAATTAAAACTGGCATTACTGTGACAAAAGCATGTTTCCCAAGGTTCAATAAAACAAATTATCCAACAAAATACAAACTTCCAAAGCACGATAGTATTCCCTGGTTATCCTTCAACAGAATGATTATCCAGTCAACTACTGACAAGTAAACTGAAATAAATATCTAAACCACTAAAGGACATATCTTTTGACACATTTGTTAGGTTACCTTTGCTAAATGCACACAGTTTAGGCTTGATTTCTTTCTCAATATCACAGAAAATGATAGGGGGGAATGACAATAGTATAGTTGCAATGCCTGCTTCAGGAACACCAAGAAGTTCAAGAAAGCCAACCAATGGTTTAAAATGGTCTTCTACAGAGCACAAAAGAAGCTTTGGAAATGATTCGACCAGATAGGGAAATGAGGCATCTTTGTGACCTAACATACTTAGACCTCCATGTCTTGCCTCCATCTGCATGAAATATTTGTCACAAATGCTATAAAGCATTCAATACAACAAAGATGTACAATGCTACAACCCAGATAAGTAAAAGAGTAACATTTAATATTACACACTTTTTCAAAAAAGGACAAAGTGCTCTGAACATCCTCATCCACAGGAATCGATAGGTACATCATCATTCGTCTAGCATTTCTTCCGATAAGTGCCTTATTAATACTGCTTGGAAACAAAATTCCACTCACAAAATTGACCTACAAGCAAATCCACAAAAAGGACGTGTGTGGTTAAATTCATAAACGTTATAATGGTGTAATCAAATCGCTACTAGCAAAAGAATGTGTTTGTTTAATAATAGGAAGTGAAAGTGAGGTGAGATAAAGAAAACGGTAATACAAATCACAGGAAACAACAGTGATATTGGAAATGGAACAATAAAATAGCAGTAACAACATATGCTGAACAAGGTGACAACGGCGTTGTCCGAAACATAGTTGAAACATTCGAAATGGCAACCAGGCGATGAAAGTCATGAATTCACTTTCTTCCAGTTCATGAATCCCCTTATGGAATTCATGGATAGTAATATTATGTCCCATGTAATATGACGCTTCCTGAGACCAGACGATGGAATAATTGATGATCCCAAATATGCATTATTTTCACTCGTAATGATACTTGACTCCAGAGCAATAAAAGCAGGAGAAATTGTCCCAACTATTTGATATCGTGACCTTTAGGTCATTCTAGAATTGTTTATCATTAAGCATCAAAAGAAGTAAGAAAAGAAAAACCAGTTTTTTCTTATTCTTGCTTGAGAAATTTAGTAACGAAAGACAAGCTATACTATAGAAGCAAGTTCATGGAAGAGAATGAGATACTATAAACAGTACCAAGAAAAATATGAAGATATCAGATGGTGACTATTTCTGTACTGGATGATATCATATGGAAACATCTGTTGCTTCCGGGTGAGACTCAGCAATTACAGGAAGAACAGTAGAAGATGATGCACATTAAACGTCAGAACAATGATTGACAAATTTAAATTTGCATTTAACAACTAAATTCATCAAACGAATGAGATAGATGTTAACGCAAAACCATATATTTTTTTGCATATTATATCATCCATCTACCATAATTTGAAGCTCTTACCTTATCAATCAGCTGACGAAGCTTCTCCGAGGACAAATACCTAGCAATGAGCAAAGCAGAGGAGAGTTTGACGCCAATGCTCTCCAGATAAGGAAGCACGCCCTTATCTCCCTTACTTTTGGCCATGTAGTACACCTTCTTCCTGAAACTAAGGCTACTCATGTCCATGTTCTCTTCCACAATCTCGCTATTCCATGAACCCCACAGGCCGAGCTCATCCAGCTCTTGCACGTTCCCCACGAGCATCTCTACATAGCACGGCGAATTGGCGGCGATATAAACGGAGTCCTCCTGTGAGGCTCCGAACTCCCGCAGTATCTCGACCACGGCTTCCCGTGCTTCATCGACGGCCGGCAAGCCGGAGGTCGAAGACGGACACCACCCGTCTTCGGCAGCGGCAAACCGTACTCGCGTGGCCCGGAACCCGCAGCTGCGGACAGAGGAGGTGGAAACCGAGGAAACGAAGGGAGAAGGAGAGTTGGAACCGAGAAAGAGGACGAAGGCGACATTCCACGAGCGAGGGCGATCGATCGAAGGGGAGAGAGTTGGGACTACGGTCGTGGGAGCGGGGAGAGCCCACGAAGCCATGGCTTCCCTGGGGCTCGCAGAAACCCTAATCCCTAAATCTCTAAAACCCAGCTCGACGATGGTGGCTCGCAATTACTCATGTATCGTACGAAGCAGGCGCACGCAAGAAGGTGCGCGCGCATCCACTCCGCACTCGTTCCCGACCGTCAACTAGATTCGTAGTGAACGAAACAGGTGGAGCCCAGAAAGGTAGAATCCGGGTCCATTTTTTGATGCGTTAATTGGCCGCCAATATGACTTGACACACCCGAATCCGATTTAAAATATCAAGATAAATTCTTGTTCTAAATTCGATAAGCTTATTGGATCCGGATGTTTGATCCGCATTCTATCACGGATCTTCGATATGAAACTTGTGCTAAAACAAAAATGCTTATTGAACTATTATATTAATGTTCCCTTCAATTATTTTGAGAAGATCAGAGTTTTTCATGCACAAAGGAATCCAATATGTGCATTTATTCTTTTGTTGAGTTAGTTTCAATATGAGATTCTACTTATTAATTTTTCAAAGGAATAAAAAGTTTTCCCTTTGGAACTCATTTTACTTTTTTATTTAAGTTATATATACATATATATATATATATATATATATATATATATATATATATATATATATACGTTTGTTTATTTACAATATAAAATACATAATCAAATAGATGCTTACATTAATAATATGTACTATAAATCATAAGCTATATAACCTATATATTAATTACGCTTCTTATACATGCATAAGTTATAATTGTCATTCCACATACAAATTTTCCTTTGAGACAACCACCTGTGGCAATCACGATAGACTCTGAGACAACTATGTTTACTTGATTCTCCTTTCACTTCAAACTTTTCCGTGGAATTGGATTGGGATGTGTGGAGGTGTTGCTCGCATCGGCAGGTCATCTTCTTCGGAACTATGCTAGTACAGCTTTCATTTGCCTTCTCTTGTTCTTCTTTTTTGTGTGCAGAAGTCAGCTTGGTCCCTCCGATAGAAGCTCGCCACCAATGGGCTACAGCTAATGATATCTAGAAGAAGCCAAACGCGGCAGCTGAAATGGTCCTCGGTGAAGCTATGTGGAGCAGTGAGGGAGACGACCAAGTCGGCTTTGGTTTCAGACACAGGTTTGTGGTTGAAGACTCGTGAAATGGACTGAGAAAAGACAGGTTGAAGGAGAGAGGAGATGGGAAGAAGACGATCGGACCTAACGCGTTTACGTGTTATTGCATGCCGCTCATCAAAGCTTTGACCGCTGCATCTTCCGCATTGCATTTTGTAAGTTGAAATCGACAAGTAGGTAAGATAGAATTGATGTCACAAGAACAAGTTTAATCCATTGTCATCTCTATCTCCAAGTATGAAGTAGAGATCAACACGAATGCCTTTTGCCAATCCAAATGAAAATAGAGAGAGTTTAGAGAATAGTTCAACTATTAAGGATTAAAAAGGCTCTCACAACTTAAATACTTAGTCTTTTTATAGTATATTTATGTTTATCTCAATGAATATTGACCCTATTTAGTTAGTTCCCTTTAATTTGAACTCTTGAATGTATACTATGAATGAGTTGTTGTATGCACTCGTATGTTCTTCTGAATTATATGTACATACGAGATTGACTTAGAAAACTGCTGAAGTGTTCAACAAATGGATACAAAGTTTTAAGGCTGCCTTAAACGAGCAAGCAAGAAATAATTAGAGGAGGAAGACAGATGCATGCAAGACATGACATATCTCCATTGATGATAAGGGAATCGAAGCAGTCGTGCACTGCATGGGCCGGTGAGGTCTTCGCCGTCTCCCTCCGCTGCTGTCGAGCTCTCACCAACCTCACCTGGAAACAACGCTGACGACCGAGAAGCATTAGGAAGCTTCGCGACGACCCCACTCACCACCATGGCCGACCTTCCCATGAGCTCATGATCCATTCACAAGTCTCGGCTACAGTTTGCAAGCGTTGAATCCATGGAAGTCGGACAAAGCCTGTCGTCATCTTCCCCCCCCTCCCTTTCCCTTGCATTTGGGTGGGTGTGCATGTCAAAGCTTTTCCCACCGCACACATAAGCCTTTGCAGTCAAGTCTTTATGTGCAAATCTCAAGCTCTAGATGCAATGGACGTGTCTGCAACCCATAATTTCTTTAGTGAACCCTATCTCCCCAAAAGACCCTTCGATTACAATATTAGTCAATCACAAACATATATATATATATATATATACATATACATACAATATGGTAAGATCAATGCATAGATAGCTGCAGTGCCAATATGAGAAGCTTTGTTAAGCTGCATGTATTCAACTACTGTTTCCCTTGTTTTGTTGTAGCATTTCTCAGATGATTAGGAGATACATTTGACAAAAGACAGTAAACTGAATCTTGATCAATAAAGGGAAACTATTTCTTGATTGAAAAGAAGGAAGTATTTGAGATGATCAAATGGATAAACAAATATGAGGGTCTCAAGTTTGTCTTAAAAGCTGAAACCAGAAGGTGAGTAAACTATGTTTTCTGGATTCATTGTGGTACTACTCAGAGTTGTATCAGAAGCTCAGATGGAGGAAAGCATTCATTACCTAAAGCTCAAGCTATATTATTTGATGCATTGGATTCTGAACCTTAATGAAAGTGAATATGCCATTGCAGTATCCTTAATGTTCTTCGTTTACTCATAATGAGATTTTCCAGGATATTTAATGTGATTTATGCTTTCTAAGTTAACCGTCAATAATAGTCAGCCACAGTGATTAATAGGATGGTCCTATCGTAATATTGGCATTATCACGAGGGCATTTTCGTAAACGGAGTCCGCCGGTAAATAACCTTTTACCCGATTCGGGCGACTATTTATACCTTCCGATAAACCACTATGAACACCAGAACTCGAATTATAATTAATGATAAGAAGAATCAAGGAAAAATGTCCCCTTTTTCTTTCTTCCAAAGGAGGATCTCATTTTTCTTTCTTTGAAGCTTCTTAAGATCTCATTCTTGATCCGGCAATTCCTCGATCCCGAGCTCGCCGACGCGGATCCGATCTTTTCGCCGGCGGACCGCGGGAGATCGGCGTCGATGAACTCTTGAGACGCTTCGGACCTGATCCGACAGCAATGGGGGCTTGCATGTCTTTGGAGGAGCAAAGTAAGCTTCTTCTCTTCTTCTTTCTTACATCCCCTAGATGCTGGATCTTTAACCGTAGTGGAGGAAGGAGCTGCGAGGGCTTTCTCGTTGACTGACGATTTTGAGTGTTTCTAGCGAGATTTGTTTGTTTGGGTTTAGATTGAGCTGAATGGTTTTTGTTCAAGATTGCAACTTTATGCTGCTTGGTGGAATTTTAGCTCGTCCCATGTGGAATGAAGCACTGTGGTTGATCGCATTGTCCCGATTAGTGGTTCTTTAGGTTCACCAGGTGTATGAATAGGTCAAACTCAGATTTTGGGGAAAAAAGTCAGAAGTGAAAGCGTCTTAGCATCTTGACGTGGGATGAGGTATGGTCGTGCAAGAGTATCACTAGTTGGTCTTGATTCAGGTTGCATTTCTTTGGTTGTGTAGAAGAGGGCATTTGTCTCTTCACTGTTCTATCAGCTGCAGGTGTATCTATGTTAGGATTCGAGGCAAAATTTTGCATCAATTTCTGCATCTTGCTGTAAAATTTTGTTTTAGGGATTTGCATATCCCAAGTGCAATGTGATAGTCTAACCAAATATTTGTTTACGTTTGTGGTACTTCCATACTTTCTTTTATGAAGGTTATAAGAATTGTGTGCATTTACTGGACAGCGTTCTTAGGAATGCGGATATCAAGCTCGTGCATCAGGATACCTATGATTTGCTACATCTTAGGGTAAAAGTTTTCATGGGCTTGAGGGGGACCAAAAATATGGACCTGTTATGCTTCCTAAGGATCCTGTGAGAATTTCGTACGTCCAGAATGCCATAATGCATGGGAATAATGTCTTTTTAGGAACACGTCAAGGGAGAGACTTTGCTTTGACTAAAAATGACTATGCATTTTTTGCTGTGGTTATTATCGTGGTGGTTTCTTGGTTGTATTTTGATGTTCTCTGAATGCATCTTGAGATGCCAGAACAAAGGTTTCTTATCGACATAACTTGGGTTTGAATTTGTGACCTTTCAGTAAAACCAATAATATTCCCACCACCTTTACTTGAGGTCTACATTTTAAATCTGTCAATTATGTTTTGGTCAGAATCCTGCTCATAGCGACCTGGTCGAATTGGAAGAAATTGTAAGCAATATTGCAAGTCAATCAATTGACAGAACTCTCCATCTATACCAAAACCCATTTGCGTTTTTGAAAAACCATGTTAAAACAAAGAAAGATATCTCTTTGCGTTGCATGGGCTGTGTTTATACTTTTTAGAGGGGGAAAAAAAAACTTGCTATGATGAAGATAGGCTTGTTAACTACTTTTCTTTCATTATTTTCTAATAAACATATTTCCCTGCTCGCCCATCATAATAAGATATCCATATTTCTTCTGACATAGTAATCATAGCTCAAAATCTAAGAAGAACAAACAATAAGATCTAAAGAATGGGTGCTGAAATTAACAAAGTCAGCACAGGTTGAAACTTGTTGTGCCTGGAAGGTACTGTCCTTGTTGTGTTCACTGTCGCTATGGTACAAATTTGGATATAAATATCCTTACTATAAATCAATAATAAATCGTCTTGCAACTCTATTATGTGTTGGTAGTCCAGTTTGTATCCATATTAAATGAGAGTTGTTGTTAAAGCAACTATATGTTTGTACCTGATTTATCATCAATGTTGCCAGTTGAAATCGGTAAAGCAACTGCATCGCTGTATCCTGACGAGAATAATGATACATCTCAAAATAATGTTATAAGTGCATTAGCCCCTCCGAAGGATGTGGATGATCTGCGGCTGATATCTGGATATGGAAATGTCAATATATTCACGTATAGTGAATTGAGAGCTGCTACCAAGAATTTCCGGCCAGATCAGGTTCTTGGAGAGGGTGGCTTTGGGGTTGTATATAAAGGTGTTATTGATGAGAGTGTCAGGCCAGGTTCTGAAACCATCCAAGTTGCTGTGAAAGAGCTCAAGTCAGATGGCTTGCAGGGAGACAAGGAGTGGCTGGT